CCTTTCTCTATCTTCCTCCCTCTTACATTCATTCTGTCCCTCCCTACTTTGTTCTTTCTGTTGACACATATAATTTTACAGATTTATGGAGTACAGTATGATATTTCAAAATATGTATACACTTGTATTAGAATTTCTATTGTGATTAAACACCATGACCAAGATAGATAGATAGATAGATAGATAGATTGATAGATAGATAGACAGACAGACAGACAGACAGGCAGGCCCATACGACCATCTATCCCAATACACCATTCACATGGTTGAACATGGCAATAAACAAAAGTACTGCACAAATCTAAACAGACTGAACCTTATCCAACACCAAGACACACAGGCAGACTGAGGGGCTCACTCAGTCATCTTCGAGGTATACCTGGAGCATTCAACCAGGTGCTTGTAAGCACTTGATACAGGTTCTAGTTCCATGTGAAAATGAGCCCATAAAATTTAGAGGACCAGCACAGAACATGCTCTTGGACACAAAGACACACACATACACCTCTCCCCAAACACGTAACCCCTAAAACCTAAAGAGAAGAAAATACAGGAAAGAATACAATGTCAGATCCATTAAGCCTAAGAAATTAAAACAAAACACCTGTTTATCTGAGAAAAGTAAAATGTTACAAGCTCATACATAATTTTAATAAAAATTTTAGATGCATGAAAATTTAAAAATGTATATCAGAGATCACTTAAAACCAGAGATGGTGGCACAGCAGCCCATACATGCCACCGGGTGCCTTTCATGGGAGAAAGGAGTATAATAATAAAAGATATTAACTGATACTTCCAACTGCTGATACCAGCTGAACAGTTTTTCCCATGGATGATTTACATTGCATTTAGTTCACATTATGGCCCTGATTTATGGTATTGACCTCATGATGTGTTAGCCACAGTCAGCTGTTGTCAAGGCTTTTATTGAAGGGCAGAATAGATACTGATGGGTACCATGTAATACTGACTTCCTGTTTTATCCAGATTCACGTTCTATTAAGTGACTGTCTGTGTGTCTATGGTGTGTGTGTGTGTGTGTGTGTGTGTGTGTGTGTGTGGGGGGGTCCCAGTTCAAGGGCATGTGGAAATTAAGGGTAGAAGTCCAGTGTCTATCTCTATCACGCTCCACCTTGGTTTATAGGATCAGGAATCCAATGAACCTAGAGTTCAACATTTAGCTTAGATTGGCTAGCCAGTGAGATCCTAGAACTCACCTATTTCTGACTACTTGGACTAACAGGCTCATACCACACACAAATATTCTAATGTTGGTGCTGAGGATCCACACTATGGTTCTCATTCATTACCAAGGACGTACTTTACTAACTGAGCTAGTTCCACTGCCAACATTTTGTAAGGTACCAGTAGAGAAAATAAGTGCAAGAAGGCAGAGTCACCCTTACTCTCTGCCACTACTTATACAGAGGGCTGAGGAGCCTTTTTGTTTATCCTACCATCAAGAATACAACAAAAAATGTTAGATTTCTAGAACAAAAATAATGCAAGAACTAGATTTAATGCCTTAGGATATTAACCTTAAGATTAACCACGGTCATGAAGCATAAAAAACACATATGGTGTGATATGAATTCTTTATTTTATTTTATATATGTGAAAGTTTCCTTATATTAGCATATATACAATTTAGATATATATGAATGCTGTGTGTGAGGAGAGAGAGAGACAGAGAGAGAGAGAGAGAGAGAGAGAGAGAGAGAAATAGAGTTCCTTGTGTATGCCTCTGAGTATCAAGAGGACATCAGATTCCCTGGAACTGGAATTGCAAACAATTATTATATATGATGTGGGTGCTGGAAACTGAACCTGTGTGACATATAAAATACACAGCATGTGCATGCCCAATGTTCATGGACGTCTTCGTCTAATGGATGATTGTGAGACACTATATGGGCGCTGTACCCTCACTTTGGTTCTCTGCAAGAGCAACAAGTGTTTTTAATTGCAGGCCATCTTTCCAGTTCCAAGATGTGTCTAACAGATGAAAGCATGGCCCATTCTTTCTCGACTTCTCGTTCTATGTGTCTTTTGGTATTTGTTTGTGAATTCTATAAAGCTGGTTGTCAATTCTTAGTTAAGGGTAAAAGAAAATTAATAAATATGTTAAATCCAAAGAGTTGTGTCCATCAAAGAATCATTTGTAACTTGTTCAGTTCCCAGACTAGAGGTGATTCAGGGAAGATGCCTGTTTGTAAAACCAGTATTAAGAATTTACAAACGGACACTGGGAAACAATGCAATTCAGGGGCTCAGAGAAATCTTACGGTTCTGTCCCAGCACAAAGTTACTGTATCTTAGTGGTTTGTGAACTACTGTTGTGTGTGTGACTGAAACTCTATTTCAGTGACTCTTTGCACCTTACCTCTCTGATACATGTGCGATTCCCTAAGAAGTGTCAGAAGTTTGTGATGTAAAAATGGTTGCACCTAAATTCTTTAGGCAATGTCTCATGTACATGAGATTATGCTGATCATAATTCAAATTTATCCAACGCCATTAACTCATCAAGATTCAAACAGAGCCCTATCCTTGGACAATGCATCAGAGTCAGACATCTCAATGATAAAGAGTGGCTACACTGTTCTTAAATGAGGGTGTTGGGCATATGAGTGCAGTAGGCATGCTAAACACAGACAGGGTAACTAACCTATGTGGATTTATTTATTCGTTTGTTTACTATTGCATGTTTAACATTCCCTGTGCTGTGCTATATTTGAATAATTATATTGCTACAAATGGTGACAGAAAATGAGAGAATTTTCACTAAAGAAAAGCCTTTAACCTATTTAACAAGGTTTCCGAAGGATATTCTGGGTTCCTGGTCTGAAAGTTTTGGATCAGTTTTGCGTATTTACTTGTGTTCTCCTCATTTCCAGTCTGTACATTTAGTAAGTTTGGGGAAGACAAACTCCAGGGAAATTAAAACTACAGCTCCAACTTTTCATCGTCACTCATCTTCCTCAGCCCCTCCCCCACTGCTCAGGCAATCTGAAGTTTGTTTGTGATCCATTGCCCCAGGAAAGGATAATTCCCTCCAGATCACCAGCATGTCCCTCTGCCGTTCTCTTCACAATGAAACTTTCCTGAAGGTTCTGATGGGAAGAAGTGTTTTTCAGGGGTGAAGTCTGCTCCCTCAGCAGACAGTGTCATGGCTGTCTCCTGTGACATCATCTTGACCTCAGGGGAGATGGGAATCTCAGCATATGTCCGTGTCACCCGAATCTGTGACTGTATGGAGAGAGACGGTCTGTCCCTCTGACCTCTGAGATGCTATCGAGCATCTGCCATCATAGAGGCATCTACTTTCATAGGTGAGTCTTCGTTTCTCCCTCAGGCTTATAGCTGCTAGACAACCTGCCGCCAGCTGTGTATGTGCAGTACTCTCGAGTTTTCTCTCTCTTTTATGGACAGAAGGCTGCATAATATGAATACTTATAGATCTATGGGTCATCTGAGTCCTGAGCACTCCTTGGGGATTGGAATCTGCAAGACAGGAGCTGTGCGCCTATTCACCTCTACCTACAAGTCTTTGGCAAGAGGAATTTCCTGAAGGATCCCTAGTCACAAGAGGTGGGTGTGGGGGGTTTTGCATCCAAAATGCTTTATAACAATATTCAAGAGAGACAGAACGACAGACCTCCCTCCAAATATTTTCTTTGGAAAAACGCCAGGCCTACTCAATGAAAGGTGATGCCTTGGATAATGTCAATTTCCAGGGAGCAGAACCTAATGATATGAGAACACCTGCTTTTCTTGCAAGCTGCCTGTTTGACTCAGAGTGGCACAGTGACAAAAGTCTATTTTCCTCCTTAGTTGGCAAGAACATTAATAGCAATTTTATGTGGTATTTATATGTGCAAAACTGTGAACAAAATCAGATACACGTGGTTCAAATTTTAATCTTGTCTAAGAAAGTTTCTATTACTTGCAGATTTTAGCATCACTTGGTCACAGCTGAACATTCATATTGCTACTGCTGTGTTTTCTGCTTTGCAGAACTGTCCTTCATCTCCAGATTGACCTTGGATCAATGTAAGCATGAGTGACTTACAATTTACTGGCTCAAGAAATATTACGCACCCTATGTGTAAGTGTGCAGAAATTTCCCAAATGTTCAGATGACTATGATAAAATAGAGACTATATTCTTGGTGTGCAGGATACTGGAAATTAATAGCTAAAAACATTCTCATGGATGTCATCCCAATATTGAGACAAGCTTTCCAAATTTTATTTGAATGTTTGTATAAAATTGATGTTTCAAATGTGACTAGCATTGCCATCTTTTGATATTGCAATTCGATACATGATATGAACCAATAGCAAATACTAGGAATTGATGTTAGGAATAGTTAAAAATATAGAGGCGTTTGTAAAATATAGGCAACAATGACAGTGTAAATGACATTTACTTTAAAATTCAGATGAGTGAACCCTGAAGAGAAATTTTTGCTCTATATAAGGAAGTTTATATTATTTCTTCCCAAATTATTATTGGTTGCAGTAAGTTTGCCAGTGGTAAATCTTAGGGAATATGTACTATTACAAAACTCACCCCTTAACAGTCTTTCTCACCATTACTTCCTTCTCACAGAAGGATACTATTAGCTGGGAATCTTACATCATTGTAGAGCCATGTGGAAAATGCTGAGAACCAGCCAGTTCAGTAATAACTTTGTTTGTATATAAAATACTGTGACTGGTGTCTGTTTTATAGAAAAAATGAGAATAATTTAAGCCTTTAAATACTTTGAAAACTACTTTTTTGTAATGTGCATGAGTGTTTTCCTTTGTGTAAGGAGCTGGGACCCTTAAAACTACCAAAATATGTGAGCTGTCATGTGGTTGCAGGAAATTGAACCCAGTACTCAGGAAGGGCAGCTAGTATTCTTCATTAATTAGCACCTAGACACTTCTTATTCAAAATCACATATTGGGGGCTCGTAAGAAGTTTCTCTGGGTTAAGGAGGCACACTACTCTCCCAGAAGACTAAAGTTTATTCCCAGCACCCACATCTGGCAGCTCAGCACCGATTGTAACACTGACTCCAAAGACACCTGCACTGAAGTTAATATTCCCATGCAAAGACACAAGCACATACACATAATTAAAAATTTAAATACTCTTGAACACACTTTATTTTTATATGTGAATGGAAAATAGTGATTATGAGTTAGCATGGATTTTTCTTCTTGGTTTTTCGAGACAGGGTTTCTCTGTGTAGCTTTGGAGTCAATCCTGGCACTCGCTCTGGAGACCAGGCTGGCCTCAAACTCACAGACATCTGCCTACCTCTGCCTCCCGAGTGCTGGGGTTAAAGGCGTGTGCCACCAACGCCTGGCATTTATTTATTTTGTTTATTTTTTTATTTTTTAGTATGGACTTTTATGTACAATGAAGAAAATAGTCTTACATGTCTATCCTGAGTTCCCAGCATCACTCGTGATTCTTATAAATTGACCAAATGAAATCAGGAGATCTTGCCATTGGGATCTTCTTCCTGTCCCAGACTGCACTGGGGATTCTGGGGAACTTAGCATTGCTTTGCTGTTTTCTTATGTCTACCTTCAGTGTGAACAGGGTGAGGCCCACAGATGTCATTGTCAAACACCTGACCTGGGCCAACATTGTTGTTCTTCTCTGCAAAGGGATCCCTAAGACAATGGTTGCTTTTGATCAGACATATTCCTTAGATATCATTTCATGTAAACTTCTCTTCTATTTTCATAGAGTTGCCAGGGGAGTATCCATTGGTTGTACATCCCTGCTGAGTGTCTTTCAGGCCATAACCATCAGCCCCCACACTTCCAAGTGGGCACAGCTGAAAGTCAGACTCCACAGAATCATTGGTCCATCCCTGGGCCTGTGCTGGGCCTTTTACCTATTTTTAAATATCGTAATTATTGAGGGAGTGACTAATATGAGAAATAAAGGAAATCTTACAGAATTTAGAGATTTTTTATACTGTTTAATAATAAAACTTCCCAAACAAACTTCCATAGTACTTGCTATACTATTGGTTGCCAGTGATGTTATGTGTTTGGGACTCATGATATGGGCCAGTGGCTCCATGGTGTTGATCTTGTTCAAGCATAAACAGAGGGTCCAGCATATCCACAGATCCCTGTCCTCTAAATCATTTCCTGAAACCAAGGCCACACAAAGCATTCTTATCTTAGTGAGCAGCTTTGTGGTCCTTTATGTAACCTCTGCTACCTTAACCATGTATTTTCCTTTCCAGGATGGAGGAGGTACATGGGTGGCCAATGCCAATGTGGCCATGAGTGCCTCCTTCCCAGCAGTTTGCCCCTTTCTGCTAATAAGACACTATACGAGTAATTTTCATCCTTACAGTACTTGAGCATATCCACATCCCTTTTTTTGTTATATAGTCAGAGCAGTCAGAGCGACAGGCTGTATACACTGTTTTATATTCAGTATGCCCCGTTCACATCAGATATATTCTGTAGGTATCATATAACGTAACATTTTTGGAACACAGTCTTGATTCCAGTTGATGCCAATTGTTTCAATTTAGAACATTTTAGTAGAAGATTAAATTAATATTTGTGGTGTATGGGTTTTTTTGATTATTGTGATGGCTTATAAATGTCTGATTACCATTCACTGCTCTGTTGCATAGGTAAAATTAATCAACACTGATTTGTGGGTAGACTGTTATCCTGATGCAAGAATAGAGCCACAAACTGATTCTGGGACAATGAGTAGTTGTGTTTCATGCTCCAGATAGTTGTAACCGTGGGGCTCCTAGAGTTTGTTGGTGTTGGAGAGCATAGAGAATTTAGGGTGTGATTATGTGCTATCTTTCTTGGGTATTCATAGTTAATGACCAACTCTGTGAAAATGCCAGATGAGATGTAGCAATAATTTTTCATATTCAGGTGAGTGTTTAGATAGGACATGATCAGAAATGGGGGGGATTATTAAAAAACAGCTTATCAGATACTACTAGTATTTAATATTTCTTATTTATATTTATGTGATTTGCTTTCATGCTTGTATGATTATTATGTACATTCCTTATATGGTACATTGCAGAATATGGTGTACTTTGTAATAACATGTGAGTCATGGATTGTTGTGATCTGTTATGTGGGTTCTAGAAATGAAACCCAGGTTCTCTGCAAAACAAGAAGTATTCTTTCTTCATCAATGAGCCTTCCATAGCTTACTTCTAAAACACAGGCTTCAAAGAATAATGGTTGTCAAGAACAATATATCAATACAGTGGCCAACCAATGAATGGTGTACCCTAAGATGCTTGCCCAGAATGTAAAGGCACCCCAATCATGCCCGAAGAACCAGGACCCACAGAATGGATAACCAAACACAACTGGAGGAAAAAAATGATATCTGTGTAATGATGTCTGACATTAATCTGTGATATTCATAGAGTGTCACAGATTGTCATCAAAGAGGCTACATCCAGCAACTGACGGAAACAGTTAAAGACCAACAGCTAAACATTAGTTGGAGCTTGGGCAATCCTGCAAAAGGCAGGGAGAAAGGATTGTAGGGTTCAGAGTGGTCAAAGACATAATAAGAATACCCACAGAACTAACTAACCTGAGTTCATGGGTGGTTCCCAGAGACTGAACCAGCAAGCAAGGAGCCTGCAAGGGACTGACCCAGGTATGTATGTTATAGCTGTGTAGCTTGATCCTCTGTGGGTCTCATGACAGTGGAATTAGGGCATGTCTCTGAATTTAACTGACCTCTTGGACACTACTCCTCATACTGGGAAGCCTTTCCCATCCTGAACACAAAGAGGAGAGCTTAGTCTCACTGCAAATGAGTATGACACGTTTTGTTGCTACTGATGGGAGGTCTAACCTTTCCAGAATAGTAATGGAGATGGAGTGGTTTAGGTGGCAGGGAAGGAGATGAGTCAGGGGGAAGGCACTGGGAGGGGAGGAGAGTAGAAACTATGGCCTGTATGTAAAATTTAAGTATATACATTTTAAAAAATCTTAGGTAAATAAACTTTAAAATAAATAATTGATGTGTGTTATCTCTCTCTCTCTCTCTCTCTCTATATATATATATATATATATATTTCTCTATATTTCCTAGTCCTTGTTCAATGTTAGCATTTGGTAGTATAAAAACAAATATACACATAAAGAAGATATTTACCTTTTTGTGCTTGCCTTTTGATATATGATTAATGACTAAAACAGAGCTAGCCAATAAAAAGCCCTAGCCACTGGCCAATAGTACTCTAATTAATATAGTATCCCTGTGTTTATTTATGTTTGAACAATGGTAAAAGAAGCAGGACAAGAGAAAACTGCCACAACAAATAATTATTCACAATCACACTTTTAATCTCATTAGGCATATTTAAAGGACAAACAGAGATATGTTCTATAAAGCAGGTCATCGTCATAAACTTCAGAGGTCTATAACATATGGCATTTAAAATGTTTTAATAACAGAGGTATTTTTTTCTGACAATGAGATATATCTGCCACTGGCAGCACCATCTACTTAAGAGAAGATGATAGGCATCAAAGAAACTCGACATGGAGTGCGCTTGCCTGGACTGCTGACAGCAATGCCGTCCAAATTGGGACAAGCACGACACACAAAAAAAGAGTTACTGTAAAACCTTGCCAAGGTGGGTTAGCCCTTCAGAAAATCCTTCAAGAATAGTCTGTCAGAGATGCTAGGCCCAAAGTACAAAAATGGATGTCCCAAGATTATAGAGGAAACTTAGGTGACTATTCAGGAAGCAAGCTGTTTTTATCATTTGTCACATTTTTGGAAACTACTTCAATTGTGCTTCCTGCACAATTATTTCCTTCTTTGTTCTCTGAGGGCGTTGAAGACTATAAAGATATAGTTTTCATTTTTTGCCAGATTCAGCAAGGAAACTCTTTAGAGAAATGAAGGTATATAGATTTGAGAGACATAAAGTATAATTTGATAATGCAAATTAGAATAGAAAATAAATTAGGTGCAAGACTGTGGATTCACTGAGAGAGGATAAATAATGAAATGTTTTCTCTGAATTCCTCAAAGGCAAATGGACTAGGTATTTTAATAAGGGGTTAGCAGGAGGAGAGGACGGAGTTGGAACTAGGATTGGAATGTAAAATAAATTAATAAAAAATAAAAATTTAAATAATAATTAGGATTAATTATTAATTAATAAAATAGAACAAGTATTTCAATAAAAAGAGAAATGTAGGCTCTTAAGGTGGAGAAGAGTGTATAAAAATTATAAATAAGCCACAAAACTAGATGTAGGCATCTTAGCAGTGAACTTGTAATAATGGCCACACCTCTTAGGCATGACCTCAGGAGACAGAAGCAGAAAGAGAGGAGCTTAAGGTCATGGCTTTCCATGGTGTGCTCTTTCTGGTGGGTCAGAAAATATGATAGAAAGTTCAGGAAGTGCTCCCAGGTTCTTTGTATTTTTGCGTGTAATTGTTCCCCAATAAAAACACATTTATCATTTTTCATGAGTTTAGTGGTGTCATTACATTCTCACCTTCAAGGAGACACAGGGATCAGAATGCTCTGGGTGGCTCTGTATTCAGGGGAGTTTCTGCTGGAACCATCAGAGCTGAGGATGAGTTGAACCCCCTGCTTGTGTCTGTACATTATGACAATCATGGATCAATTGAACTAGGCCATGAGCACAGAAATGAAGAATTCAGGGCAAACCATCCTTGATGCACAGAGTGAATCACCGATTTTTTCTGGTCCTACAGAGCAGTATCCAAAATCTTGTATTAGTTTCAAATTACTGCAGTTCATGTTCACAATTGGGTAGGCAAAAAAAAAAATAAGTTCATGAACATGAACAGGATTCAGATGAGGGAGATGTGGCAGCCAACATACTTCTCAATGTTGACTTCATGATCCTTCCAACATAATTTCCTGGGAGTAATGGTCATGTCCTGGAAGATAATTCAGAGGCTGGCAGTGCCCATGGACACACACCTACCCAAACCCTGAATGTACAACAGGATCTTGCAACCAAAATTATTCAAAAAATGCTCAAATCCCTACTCTACATTGTTTGTGTTACTCCTTTATAGAGAATGATCAAGGCATTGGCTACCATTGTGCTCACGAGAATCAAATCTTTGGGCTGTAATGTTTTATCTCTGTAATAAAGGACTGAAGAGTAGGAAGATTAGAGACTTCCCAGAATTCCAGTTATACTCTTTGATGAGAAAATAATTTGATTGCCAAAATCCAAGAGTACATTTGGTGACTTGGCACAATTTCCTTTAGAATATGGCCTGACTATTCTAGAAGAATAGATACTGACAAATACTTGAGTTCTGAAGTGGAGAAAGAGGCCTTTATTTCATTGGATTCCTGAGAGACTGAAAGAAAGGGCTTTTTTAAACTCAGGTGTTCAAGGCCAGCCCTGACCACTTAAGAAGACCCCATTCTCAAAGGTTTGAAAGGAGTGGTTACCATGAGAATGTGCAATAAGTTAGAATACACATAATGATTGAAGGAGATCCACCCAGTTTCATTAAAAATGAACCATTCAGAATGATGTGACATTGACCCATGACTAGCAATTCAAAGCAACATCCTATACAAATAGATATGGCGCAAGGCTTCCAGAATATATTTTCAAAACCCGAAGTCACTGCAGAGAAAGCTCAGAGCTACAGACTCTTCTTCTTTTTCTACATTTCTCAATTACAAATTTCTAGCTTAACTAACCATACAAACGTAGTGTATAACCAACTAACACCCACTCCCCCTTCTCAGAAATGATAGCAAACTACTCCAGTAAGTCTTCCTTAATTCTGAAACCATGCGCAGGTGTCTTACAAGTCAAGTCTCTTTGAGACTTACTTAAGTTTGCCCACACATTTGAAAAGTCGAATTTCCTCTGAGAAGTGAGGTGCCAGCTTTGTCAAATCTTATGTGCTCTCCTGGCCCTGCTATCTCCATGCCTTTCATCCTTGCTGTTACCAGAGAATTGCTAATTGTGTCTCTGTGAGTATGTAAGCTGGAAACCTTGTGGGATCTGGGAGAACTTTTGAAGAGAACTTCTGAAGATACAACTTGTTTTGAAAAGAATAAAGAGCCATTTTTGGAATATGTCTGTGAGTCCATTCATCTCCTCTACTCTCAGATCCCTTTAGTCAGCCCAACCTGCTTGCTGTTTAGTTTTTGGACAGAACCCTGTGGGTATCTGCCTTCACTTCCACCAGCTGCTGGATGAAGGCTCTAGGATGGCATATAATTCAGTCATCAATCTCATATCAGGGAATTGAATTTAAGGTAGCTTAGATTGTTAGTGTCATCTTTGTAGATCTACAGACATTTCCCTAGTGACTGGTTTCTCTTTAAACCTATAATGGCACCCTCTATTATGCTATCTCTTATTTTGCTCTCTTCTATTCTTCCCCCAACTCAAACTTCCGGCTCCCTCACGTCCTCCTCCCTCTCCTCTCCTCTCCTCATTCTCCTAGATCCCTCCTCCCTCCACATTCCCCTCATGCTCCCAATTTGCTCAGGAGATCATGTCCCTTTACCCTTCTCCAGGGGACCCTGTGTGTCTCCCTTCGGGTCCTCATTATTTATTAGCTTCTCTAGCAGTGTGGATTGTTGGTGGGTAATCCTTTATTCTATGTCTAAAATCCACATATGAGGGAGTACATACCATGTGTGTCTTTTTGTGACTGGGTTGCATCTCTCAGAATGGTTTCTTCTAGTTCCATCCAATTGCCTGGGATTTTCAAGATTCCATTTTTTGTTTGTTTGTTTGTTTTTTGTTTTCTGCTGAGTATTACTCCATTGTGTAAATATACCACATTTTCTCTATCCATTCTTCATTTGAGGGGCATCTAGGCTTCTTCCAGTTTCTGGCTATTACAAATAATGCTGCTATGAACAATGTTGAACATATGTCCTTGTTGTATGAATGTTCTTCATTTGGGCATATGCCTAAGAGTGGAAATGCTGGATCTTGTGGTAGACTGAGTCCCATTTTCCTGAGGAAATGCCATACTGATTTCCAAACTGTTTGTACAAGTTGGCTCTCCCACCAGCAGTGGAAGGGTGTTCTCCTTTCTCCATATCCTCTCAGGCATAAATTTCATTGGTGTTTTTGATTATAGCCATTCTGACAGGAGTAAGATGGTATCTCAGAGTAGTTTTGATTTGCATTTCCCTGCTGGCTAGGATGTTGGACACTTTCTTATGTGTCTTTCAATCATTTTAGATTCAAACATTTCCTCATCTCTGAGATGAAGCCTACTTGATCATGGTGGATGATTTCTCTGATTAATTCTTGGTTTTGATTTGCCAGTATTTTATTAAGGATTTTTGCATCAATGTTCATGAGGGATATTGGTCTGTTGTTCTCTTTCTTATTGGTGTCTTTGTGTGGCTTGGATATCTAGGTTATTGAAGTCTGGCAATGATCCTTCTGATTCTATTGTGTGGAATAATTTGAGGAGAATTGGTATTAGCTCTTCCTTGAATTTCTGGTAGAATTCTGCACTAAAGCCACCTCGCCCTGGGCTTTTCTTTCGGTTGGGAGGATTTTGATGACTGCTTCTATTTCAATAGGAATTATAGGTCTATTTAAGCTGTTAATCTGTTCTTGTTTAATTTTGGCAAGTGAAACCTATCCAGAAAATTGTCCATTTCCTTTAGATTTTTGAATTTTGAGGAATATAGGTTTTCAAAGTATGACCTGATAATTCTCTGAATTTCCTCTATGTCTCCTGTTATGACCCCCATTTCCTTCCTGATTTTATTAAATTGCATGTTCACTCTCTGCTGTTTGGTATTGGATAAAGGTTTGTCTATCTTGTTGATTTTCTCAAAGAACCAACTCTTCATTATATTGATTTTTTCTATTCTTCTCCTAGATTCCACTTTCTTGATTTCAGCCCTCAATTTGGTTATTTCCTGGCATCTATTCCTCCATCTACAGTGACAATAGCAGTATCTCCTCTAAATATCCATGACCACACTAATTCTCGGTTCCAGCAACCAGATATGACATCCCTCACATCTTGCTATTGTCAGGAAGTCACTGCTGTCTTGTGTGTGTACAGACCCTCACAGTTAGAAGAGGGAGTTGTAGATAATCAGGATGAAACAGGAGAGATTTTTTCCTATGTGACTCACAGTTAATATACTTACAGAAGCATGTTAGCTTCCAATGCATCTAAGGTTTTAAATACTATACTTATGATATATATTTAAATTTGAAATGTCTCTTAATGATACAGGCTGTGCACCAGCCCCCAATTCCCATTTTGTAACTATGGAAGTATATTTTTACAATAGACTGATCTTGTAAAATTTTTTTTCCTTACATGGGAGCAGGTCATAAGATTGACTGCTATTTCTGCTTTTGTAAACTGATCTCCCTGTTTTACTCACAAAGGTGCCTATGACAACTGAAAGACATGTTTATTAAAGTAAGACTCTGTGTACATGTAGGCAGAATACATGTAATATTGTGAATTTCACCTTTAAAGACCCTGGTGGTTAGGGCTAGGTTCTACATCCTAGGACAGCTCTAGACTGTAGACATCAGCCCAATCAGCCTAGGTGCCTGCACCTATGTAAAAAGTTTCCTCTTATTAAAATATACTCATTATCATGGTGAAATTCTGAGGGGTTCTAGATTAACAACAAATGTAAGCTATGATATGTAGAATTTTCAATTCCATAGTGTATACTTAATTCCTATGCTCTTAAATTAGAATTAAATATCTTTGCTAAGTTACGACAAATGTTGAGCATTGTACCAAGTTAGTTCCTATAACAAAAAAATGTTAGAAGTAGTTCTTTACCTCCTGGAAAATTTTTGCCTTGATACTTTGATCTCTCTCTCTCTCTCTCTCTCTCTCTCTCTCTCTCTCTCT